GAGAGAGAGAGAGAGAGAGAGAGAGAGGATGAAGCCTCATCTAGCTTATGGGATATTCCCAAAAATATATATTTAATAATGGAGCATTAAAGATAAAGTCTCCTTCAAGTCAGACTTCTAGTGCCTTCAAGGACAAATCTTTCTTGACTTTTTCCAGGTTGGTTTCTTTTTTTCTTTTTTTTTTAACTTTCCAGTCTGGTCTACAGGTCTAGGATCCCCTGGTAATCTGCCCTTCCAAGTGCAAACTAGGCCTGACCCTGCTTAGCTTTCCAAAATCAACCAAAGTCACCTAAGTGCCACCTAAACCATACAAACTGATAGACAACCCATGTTTGGCAGACTCCCAGGTTTTGAATACCAAAAAAAATCAAACTTCATTATAATAACAGACTAGACTGACCTCTGACAAATTTTAGAACAATATCAAATTTAATATTCAGCCTATACTGTACAGCTTTAACAATTTGTTCCTCTAAGAACAGTATTTTTCTTTCTTTGCCACTAGAAGGCAATCTATTATACTATTCTACGGAATGCAGAATAAGAACTTCCCAAAATAAGGAAGCAGGAGGGAATGTGTTTCTTCACGCTTCAGACAGAAAATTTGAAAATGATAAAGGAAATTCCACATCACCACAAATTCCATCTATTTGCTTTAATATTTTAAATGTTCTCAGCTTGAGAAAACCTCTTTTAACAATTGTTAGTTCAAAAAAGAAAGAAAGAAACGCAAACAAAATTGCCAATCTGGGATCAGTTCTCTTATGGAAAGGTTACAAAGTATTAATTTCGGGCTGATATGAGAAGCCACATTTCAGAAACCTCTCCACAGCCATGTCAAGTTGCCATTCTATTTTTAATAAATGAAATTGGAAAATGGCAGCAAAAGTGGAATAAATGTCTGTACCCATTTATAGTAATGGCAGTGAGCACTGTTTTCTCTCTAAATATGCTTCAAATATACTGTATATTAAAACATATTAAGCTCTGACACCATGGCATTGTCCTGGACTAACTATCTACAGAATGGTTGGATGAAATTTATAATTTCCCATCTGTAAATTAAAAAACAGAGCAAATTATTCTCATTTTAGAGAAAGATTTAAGCCTTTAAAGCAGGGATGGTGAGGGAGGCTTCTCCAAAATATCAAGGTCTTCTTGTTGATGGAAAACATGGAAGGAAGGAAGGAAGGAAGGAAGGAAGGAAGGAAGGAAGGAAGGAAGGAAGGAAGGTTAATTGATTTCATGGCCACTTTTCTCATTTGAAAAAATACTCAGTACAAACAAAACAGCTGTTTATCATCCTGAAAGTGATTTTTATGCTGATTCTAATTAGAAAGGCATATATTTAATTATACTCATACACACAAGGTCAAGAGTCACATCCCATGAAACTTAGGGCAGATGCTAACAACACATGGTATGCAGAATGGGAATTGTCACTTAGAATGATGCCATAAAAATCATTTTTCTCCACATTAATGTCCTTCATTATTCATTTGGCTTGCATGAAAAGGGACAGCCTCA